TTATTTTTTTTTTTTACTTAGAGTGCATAACTCATTCATTTATGTAAGTTATAATAAATGCCTATATCCTTAAAAAAACAAGAGTTACATTTAACAATTATTTCAGCTATTGAATCTGTTTGGACATGGCGAGTCATTTTAATCCTAGAAAAAATGGCCTCTATAACTCAACAAATGGTGATACAGTATAGGAAGTAAACGAAAGATGAACAGGCAGCAGAAAGGAGCTCCCCTGTCATCAGCTCCATGTCTTTGCTGGACATTTTCGTATTTTTCTGTATTGTTTTGAACAAATTAATCCCAAATCATTTTCTGGATGTCACAATTAAACACCACATCACATTCTGCTTTAACAACTTAGAAACGTCACATATTTCGTCACAGACAATATCAAATATTTGCATATTTTCTGTATAAAAACCATTCCTGGTCTTAAATAAATCCGTGTTTGACACCAATATGAAATATAATGCTAATCACTGACAATCTTTCTCACAAATCTGATGTTTTTCTCACAATTGTGAGTTTATATCTCGCAATTCTGAGAAAAAAGTCAGAATTGTGAGATATAAACTCATAAATCTGAGGAATAAAGTCAAAATTGTGAGATATAAACTCACAATTGTGAGTATTAAGGTCAGAATTGCAAGATGTAAATACGCAATTCTGGGAAACAAAGTCAGAACTGCGAGTTTACATCACGCAATTGCTAGAACAAAGCTGAAATTACCTTGTTTTATTTTTTCATTCAGTTGCTGAAATGGGAATCCATAGCTACTGATATTCAACCAGCATTAAAAAAGTCTTGAGGTCAAATAGCATTAGGCAGAATCTAATTGGAATTTTGCTTTTAATTGTTAGAAATTAGAATACAGGTACACATTGCATCTTACAGTTTTCAAAGTAAAAGCGATGGAAATCCAGCCCCTCCACCAGGTTTCCCAGGGCCTCAGGCTCAAACGCCGTAACACTGGGATCACACATCTTCCTGCACACAAACATAATATAGTATATCATAATAATATATTGACAGTATCATATTGAAGGTAGTCTTGACATTATCTTATTGGTCTCTGAATATCTTCACAGGGAAGAACCTTTTCAGTGAGGGTTGGGGAATTTTCTTCCTCTTCAGTTTCTATTGATTGTGGAGTTCCTCAGGGCTCCATTTTGGGTCCTATTCTGTTTTCACAATTTTTTACTGCCTTTAGGCCTTTTTTTTAAAACATAGTATGTCTTATCATCTTTATGCTGATGATATTCAGATTTATTTTCCTATTAGATCTGGAGGATCAACTTCTCATTCATCTTTGTTATTATGTCTTGAGGAGGTGAAGGGCTGGCTAGAGCAAAATTGCCTAGAGCTAAATGCGAGTAAATCTGAAGTTATCATTTTTGGGCCAAATAAGGTTGACAGTGACATAAATGATGTTTTAGGTACATGGACAACAAATGTGCGGTCCCAAATAAGGAATCTGGGTATAACTTTTGACTCAGCTCTAACGTTTGATCATCAGATTAAATGTGTGGTGAAAAGTTGCTTCTTTCAGTTGAGTATTATTGCAAAAATGAAATCCTATTAGTCTGTTGCTGACCTTGAGATAGTGATTCATGCATTTATCTCTTCCCGTTTGGACTATTGTAATGCACTTTTTTTGGGAGAAAGCTAATCTCTTATTTCAAAGTTCCAATTGGTCCAGAATGCAGCCCGCGAGGCTCCTTTCTAGTACAAAGAAAAGGGAGCATATTATTCCAGTTTTGGAAAAGCTACATTGGCTTCCAGTTAAATATCGGATTCAGTATAAGGTGTTACTGTATGTTTTTAAAGCTGTCCCATGATATGGCCCCAGAATATATTACGGACTTGATTCATATGAACTCTGGTAGATCTCAAAGAACATTTAACTGCTTACTGCTTTCAGTTCCAAAAACTCGCCTGAAAACTAAAGGGGATTGCGCATTTTTGGTCGCTGGCCCAAGACTGTGGAATATCCTTCCACCTGACATCAGATCTGCACCCTCAATTGATGTGTTTAAATCTCACGTGAAAATATCCTTGTTCTCTATGGTTTTTAATTGTTGAATTTTGGAAGATGTAATTTGTTCTGTTTTCTGTTTTTGTTTAATTTTAATTTTAGGAGATGCCGAAATGAACAAGTTTCCTGTGAGGAATATCTGGAATGATATCTTGTTCCTGATCAAGTTGTTGCTAGAGGTGATACAGCTACGGCCAGAAACTAACAATAAATCAAAATTTCTACCTATTAGATTGTGTTTTATTAATGTCTACTCCTACCCCAACCCTAAACCTACCTCTTACAATAATGCAAAACCAGTAATTATTGTTGAACAGGGTGACAACAATGACGCTATATTGATGTGTGCATGCCCAGTAGCTGCAGCTGTATCTCTTCTAGCCTTAACATTGATATGGAGGCCATCTGCTCCATCTGCAAGTTTTATGACAGTGCCATCTACTGTTCACGAGACTATTTTTCCTAAAATCACAATGGCTCTATAGATTCTGCTGAATCAGACCATATCAATGCTTCTCAGCCATTTTGTCTCTTCACCATTATGAATCTTAACAAACTACAACATCTTTTTAAATCTTCGATGTGCTGAAATGAAACTTGCTGTGCATCCTTGGCACTATGAATTTGGGGAATGGCACCAACTTAGCGATCAACAATTGCAATTGTTTTTTTGCCATTACTCTTACACATTTTGTCCAGTTTTTACCAAATGTGATCTTCAGGTCATGCCTGACAAATCCTACCAAGCTAGCTTTTTTGCAGTCAAATGTATATAGATATACAAATGGTCCAGTTTTGAAGATCTCAGTTACCTTGGGACTATTTAACCATGGGTAAAAGAAGGAGAAAGTTTATATGCAGACGAGGCAAAAAGAAAATAACAATGGCTGACTTTCCGCTGGTGACATACCGCAACCATCCAGTGAACTTTACGTAATGCATTTGGACAGGAATTCTGCCTCAGAGAGATTTTAGTTTTGCAATCCGCCCCAAATTAGTTAAAGTCATGTCCATTCACACCAAGAACAATAACTATATTTGCATCCATGCCAACACATAATTACATTTTGTTTATTATAAGCATGCACTGCAGTTATATTGTCTGCTACTTTAAATTATTTAGATTGGCTGTCAATGATTTAATCACTCATCAGATGGAAAAACAATCATTCTGATTACAATGATTCATTCCACTCTGTCATTATCGTTATAGAGTAGTTGTGGTGTGGACGCTATTCTCATATAATGAGAACGATTAATAACACTTCATAGTTATAGTGATGTGAACAGGACTTTACAGACGATAAAGAAAACAAGAGTTACAGCTGTTGCCGGTCTCCACTACAGTACATTCATATTTATAGATTAGCAAATGTGGATGGTGAAAGACGAATGGTCCAAAACTCACGTGTAATTCTCAAAATCTCCATTGCTGATGGCTTCAATGAGTTGCTCAGTTACTTTGATGATTTCTTGCTTCCTCACTGCAAAGATAAAGATTTAGAAGTCGTTTCAGGGGATCAGAACGTGATACATTTGTCTATATATGTGTCACTTTTAATTGTTATTTTCCTTGAGATTGACTTATAATGTTAGTGAAGTTTGATAAAAGTACCTGCGAAATAAATAATTGCGTATCCAATAATGGTAAATAAACGTAACATCAGAATGAACAATCCTGTGCTTAATTCAATGGACAGTTTATCCAAAAATTAACATTTGCTGTTAATTTACTCATCCAATATATAGGTGACTTTTTTTCTTTAGCAGAACAGTAAAGAAGATTACTGCAATTCACTTTCAAAAAAGTAAAAAAAGCAAATACAGGCAAGACACAATTAATACCCGTGGCTCCTGACGATATATGGAGGTCTTATGAAGTGAAACAATCGGTCTGTGCAAGAAGCTGAAGATTATTTACAACATTATTACCTGTAATCCAGAGCTTCAGGCAAATGGGGAAGTCCGATTAGTTTCCGTGAACTGGTTCTTTCGGAAAGTTTGTTTAAATGCATTGGTTCACTAGTCCGTTTACGTAATCACGCAATGACGTCACATATGCACAATTATATTATTAAAGCACCCAGTAATGACATGAAACGTGTATGTTTTGCATGTTTAATGCATATAAAGTGAATGAGCTCCCCTTTATCAGCTCACCTTTTTACAATGTGAAACAAGAAAAACGTTCATTCAAGGGCTCGGTTCACGCATGCTCATATCAGCGGCTCATCGGTCTTCAGTCAAGTTCGATCTGTTTCCTCAGTTCAGTGACTGTTGGAGGAACTGGAGCACTGAATGAGTTCATTTATCACATGATCAGATACGCCGCTATTTTGGCTCATTTCGAGTCGGAGTGACTGTCAGGAGTCTGAAAGTGAGTTTTGATTGAGTAACAATCAAACCGTGAACTGTTTCAGATGATTCAGTCCGATTTGGTGAACTGGTTCATCCAGTTCACTTAAAAGAACAGGTTCAAAAGAATGATTTGTTCGTATACTGACTAAAGCTCTGGATTACAGGTAATAATGTTGAAAATAATGTTCAGTTTTTTGAATGTTCCTTCATAAGGCCTCAGCATATTGTCAGGAGCCATGGGTATTAATTTTGTGTTCCTTGATAGTTCATTTATCACATGATCAGATACGCCGCTATTTTGGCTCATTTCGAGTCGGAGTGACTGTCAGGAGTCTGAAAGTGAGTTTTGATTGAGTAACAATCAAACCGTGAACTGTTTCAGATGATTCAGTCCGATTTGGTGAACTGGTTCATCCAGTTCACTTAAAAGAACAGGTTCAAAAGAATGATTTGTTCGTATACTGACTAAAGCTCTGGATTACAGGTAATAATGTTGAAAATAATGTTCAGTTTTTTTTTCAGGCTTTTTTTTTCATTCTCAAAAACCGGTAGCTGTTGACTTGCATTTTATGAATCACCAAGGACCACAGTTTCAGCTAAAAACTGTTCTACCGAAGAAAAAAAAGCACCTACCCTGTACATCCTGGATGTCCTGAGGGTGAGTAAATTAACAGCAAATTTTCATTTTTGGGTGAACTCTCCCTTTAATTCAAATGAACATGTCGTTGACAGGAAGCTCCTGCTATGGTGTGTCAGAAACTAGAGGAAATGTGCAGTGCTCTGAATCCCTAGAACCAGAAAAAGACCAACAGACAGACAGTCTCACCTCTAGTATCCTCATCCTCAATTGTGGTGCTTGTACTCTCTGACGATTCCTATAAAAGACACATTAAGATTCAGGATTTTTATTGGCCAAGATCACATAAAACATGATCAGAGTTGACTGGCTGGGCCTTCAAGAAAGAAAGAATTGGTGAAAATCAGAGGATTTCAAGTCAGCAGCTTCGGTCCTGCAACAATAAATGTGTCAGATCAACATCAGCTTTACAAATGTGATGTAACATCAATAACAGAAAAAAGAAAGTCCAGCTCCATGGCAGCCATGTTTTGCTCATTGTTGGGTTGCGGCCTTTAAAGTTTGCCAGTTTGTGGCAGATTGTCAACAGGATGGAGCCTGTTTCACACTCACCATCAGCTGGGTGCTGGAACTGGACTTCCTTTTCTGGAAGAGAAATGAGAAGAGGTTAAACAGGAACAAACATTATGAGATGGACAGAGGGCGATGAGAGGAACAGCTGTGATTCTGAATACTGTACGTGAATAATTTGTTCTTGCGTCAACAGTCTACAACAGTATTTCTCTCATGACAACTCTCGGAGGGATTGGCATGGTAATATACATGACAATGTTAATGTATTTGGTCTTGGCGGAATAGATCTGCTACGCTGCTGCTGCTGCAAGTACCGAGACTTGCTACTGCCAATACATCCACAACATGCTGCTGTGAGCATGTAAGAAATACTGCTGCTGCACATATTACAGATATGAATAACCCCCATAGCATACATGATCACCTCATAGCAGATCTATACAGGTGGAGCTGGGGAAGGTGGAGGGTCTCTGAAGTGCACTGCATACTGCTACAGCAAACAAAAGCCAGGTATTTGAATATTGAGCAGTGAGCTCATTGGCTACCGATACATGAGAGAACCAATCAGCTGCCATGTGACAATGATGTCACCAAGTCAGATTGAGCTAGACCTATCGGACTGCGCCATCTAGAGTTTCATTCCAGAACTCTGTATTTAAATTCAATCCACCTTATTATTATTTTTTCTTGAATGACTTATTGTACCAACCTACCAGATCTCACGAAAAACAAGTCTCACTGTAATTTACAGGTGAAATGACCACTTAGCATTGCTCCATTCAGACAAATCAGATTGGGAACTCTGGAGAATCTATTATTTCAGTCTGTTCCATACATGATAGTGAAAGTATGGATTTAGAATACTTAAATAATATAATGCACAAGCTGTTTGGAGAAAAGAAGTCTGTGTTTAAGACAATGTGTGTGTGTGTGTGTATATATATATATATATATATATTAGTACTATCAAACAATTAACTGCATCCAAAATAAAAAATGTTGTTTACATAATATATGTGTGTACTGTGCGTATTTATTATGTATATATAAATACAAACACATGCATGTATATATTTAATAAAAATACGTTGTGTTTATATGTGAAATATATTTATATAATATTTGTATAATATAAAATATAAGAATATATATTTATACATGTATGTACATATGTAAATATTTAAAATATATATATACTCTATGTGTGTGTATTTATATATACTAAATATACACAGTACACATACATATATTATGTAAACAAAAACTATAATAATAATAATTATTAATTAATAATTAATCACAATTTATCGTTTGACAGCACTAATATATGTACATTTTGCATGAACTATACCAATATTTATACCAAAATATTTTGTAGCAAATTTGATGAAAATATTACATTGGCCAGGATACAAAATCAACATTTACTATATTCTATATAATACAGTGTATTAAATGTCTTGTCAATAAAATTATTTTATTGTTGGTGTTAGTTTCTTCAAGGTCAAGGTCAAAGTTTATTTATATAGCACCTTAAAACAACACAAATGTTGACCAAAGGGCTTCACAAGCAAAACAAAACACACACAGAAAACAGACGTAACAAGTAAACAATCCATTAACTTAAAAGAATAATAAAACAAAATTGTATAAATGTAAAAAGCAGTCACAATCTGGTACATCACAAAAACTGCAACCCCTAGCATTTAAGAGGTACATACAAATGAACCAAATTATGAGTAAGCCTGTGAACAAAGAGGTTTTAATTGATGCTTTGAAAACGCTTAATGTAGGAGAAGCTCTAATCGTTATGGGTAGTGTGTTCCAAAGTTTAGGAGCGTAGACTGAAAAAGACCTATCTCCCTTGGTTTTCAAACGAGATTTCGGGACATTCAGAAACAACTGGACTGAAGATCTGAGTGATCTCTGAGGAGAATAAAAACTTAAAAAGTTCTGATATATAAATGGGGGCAAGTCCATGCAGTGCTTTGAACACGTAAGTTAAAACCTTAAAATCAATTCTTTGTCTCACAGGTAGCCAATGGAGAGAGGCTTGAACAGGTGAAATATGTTCCCTCTTTTTTGTCCCAGTCAGGAAACGTACTGCAGCATTTTGGACAATCTGTATTCGTGCGAGTGATGACTGATTGATTCCAGCATACAAGGCATTGCAGTAATCAAGCCTTGAGGAAATAAAAGCGTGAATAACGGTCTCCAAATCCCTAAAAGTAAGTAGGTGCTTTAACTTTCGAAGTCGCTTTAGCTGGAAAAAGCTGGCCCTGACCACCAAATTTATTTGTTTGTCAAACTTCAGATCTGAATAAAAAATGACCCCCCAGATTTCTAACATGGGAGTGTTTTTTTAACTGAAGATGCCCCAAGAAATCACTGTATTTGTCAATCTGCAGTTTAGAGCCAAACAGAATAACCTCTGTCTTATTTTCATTTAACTGAAGAAAATTTTCGTCCATCCATTCTTTAATATCCTTTAAACATGCTAGCAGGGAAAAAACAGAATCACTACCAGAGTCTAATGGTAAATAGAGCTGGGTATCATCTGCATAGATGTGATAGGAGATATTATGATTCTCAAAGATAGAGCGTAATGGAAGCATGTAAAGAGAAAACAAAACTGGACCCAGAATCGAACCCTGTGGCACCCCACAGGTGATTTGCACTGGGGATGATGAAAATTCTCCAATTTCTACGGATATACTCCTATTTGAAAGATAAGACTCAAACCAATCTAAGGCAGCATCGTGGATGCCAACCTCGTGATTTAATTTTTTTAACAGAATGCAATGATCCACAGTGTCGAAGGCTGCGCTTAAATCTATCAGAACAAGAACTGCGCAGTTTCCAGAGTCCACCGATAACAAGATGTCATTTGTCACTCTTAATAGGGCAGACTCAGTACTGTGCTTAGCCTTAAAAGCAGACTGAACAGGATCTAAGATGTTGTTTGTGATTAAATACGGTGTAAGTTGGTTTAAAACCACTTTTTCCAGAACTTTCAGCAAAAAGGGCAACTTAGAAATGGGTCTATAGTTATGAAGTTCAGAAGAATCTAGGTTTGTTTTTTTTAGCAAGGGGTGAACCACAGCACGTTTTAAACAGGATAGAACAGTGCTGCCATACAGAGAGGCATTTATAATGGACTGTACACTGGGTAAAACAACCACTAATATCTCCTTAAATAGGACTGCAGGAATAATATCAAGAGAACAGGTGGTTAATTTCATATTAGAAATCACAGCCAGCAAATCAGAGTGGGATATAGTCTGAAAAGCAGACAGACTAGAATAACTAATCTGTAAATTATAACAACTTTCAGATAAGACTGATAAAATCTGAGACCTAATACCAACAATCTTATCTATGAAGAAGCTGCAAAACTTCTCGCACAGATCTGCACTAGGAACTAAACCAGAAGCAGTTGAAGGATTCAATACAGAGTTTAAAGTGGAAAATAGAGTCTTTGGACAATGGGAGTTTTTTGCAATCAAACTGGAAAAATAGTTAGCCCTTGATAAAGAAACATCTTCCTGATAATGAGACAGACTAGCTTGCAAAAGTTGATAAGAAATATTCTTGCTCAATAAACTATGAGTTTATCTTGCTTTGATTCTACGCAATGTAGATTTAATAATGTTTGATTTATTTATTGCACGTCTGTACGTTTGCGCAGGTCATTTTTAAATGATGGAAAAATGAATCTTCTTATTACAATATAGCCTTTGTTTGGTTTGAAAAAAGTTGTTCAAAAAGTTGTTCATTATGAGGATATCTATTAAATCATATGAAATATTTGTGTTTGAGGTTTATTAAACCATTAACAAGCATCTAAAATGTGATGGTGCCGCCAATGATTTTTTTTCCCTGCATGTCAAAAGTCAAACACGTCAACCCCATTTCATTCGGTGTAATAGCAGCTGAAATTTGACTGGCAAATGGCTGCCATGTTTTATAAGCTGTGCAACCATTCTCAAAGACAAAGATGCTATGGTTTTACAAAACTGGTCAAATATTTCACAGACAAAAGTTACGTTTTA